TTTGTCGAGATGGGAGAGAGAAAGGTGAAAAGCAGATGAGATGGCATCATCTGTGAAGCGGTTTTGGTGATCAGCAAACTGTAGCGGGTCCAGATTCAGTGGAAGCTGAGTTTTCATGTGCCTCAATACCAGCCTCTCAAAGCACTTAGTGATGATGGGCGTAAGTGCCACCGCGCCGAGTGTTCTTTGTACTTGTGAAATGTGTGTTGATCTTATCTGCATACTGCCGCTTTGCGTCTTTGATGGCCCATAATAGATCTGGTCTGGCTGCAGTGTAAGCTTCTCTATTTTTGGACTTAAAGGTAGAGTCTCTGATTTTCATCAGGTTGCGTAGCTTTGCAGAGAACCAGGGTTTATGGTTTGCATAGGTGATGACGGTCTTGGAGGCAGTGACATCCTCAATGCATTTGCTGATGTAGCTGGTCACTGAAGTTGTGTACTCCTCCAGGTCCACGGTGTCTGAGTATGTAGCAGCTTCTCTAAATATATCCCAGTCTGAGCATTCAAAGCAGTCTTGCAAAACAGCTATGGCCCCTTCTGGCCATGTTCTCACCTCTCTGAAGGTTGGTCTGATCCGTTTGTTGATGGGTCTATAGACTGGGGTGAGAAGTATGGAGATGTGGTCTGATTGTCCGATGTGGGGGAGGGGTGAAGCCTTGTATGCATGCTGGATGTTTGTTAGTGGTGCAACAGATCAAAAATCGCACGGTTCGGATCGGATAACGGTTTTAAGTCTCGGATCGGATCAATTTTCGGATCAGCAAAAATAGAAAAAAAAAGACAAAAATTCAACTCGCCATTTATCTATTTAAGTATTTTTTGCCTATTAAAAACATTCAACTGAAGACTCATTCCAGGCACTTATATAAAAACAAATTAAGGTGCAATATGGACATTGTGGACCATGCTGGGCATCCTCTGCATCCTCTGCACACGGCCATAAACAACCAGAGGAGTCTGTTCAGTGACAAGTTGCTTCTCCTAATGTCAAGGACCAGCAGACTTAAAAAGTCCTTTGTCCCACACACCGTTAAACTGTTAAACTCCTTGCTGGAGGGGAGAGGGAGGGGAAACGGGGACAAAGGAGGGGGGAACAAGTAAGCTGTAGTGCCTTTTCACTGTGCAATAGTTTTTGTTAATATCCAACGGTGTAATAGACTCATTTGAAATGTGCCGTTCCCTTGTATTCTTATTCCTATTTATTCTATTTATCCCTTTTGTATACTCTGTATTTATACATGTGAATATGTGGTATATTTCTGCTCACATTCTGCAACTTCTGTCGGCCCACCCGAGGGATAAATAAAGTTTCATCTAATCTAATGTAATCAGTGCAGGGCTTTGTAGCTACCACTCCGCAACGAGTGGTCACGGTCACGTGGCTTTCCGTTGCCCTGGAGGTCCACCCATTTGTAGTTAGAGCAACAGAAGATACCTGGGACAGTTCAGCCATAACTTTAAACTTTTCCTGCTCATACATGCTCGGAACGATCTTGTCACACTGAAGTGGACGCGCAACGAGATATCTTAGCGTGGCTCAAGCACGTTCATCACAGTTTAAACCCCGTATTCCGTTTTGCACAACGGAACACGGCCTCCCGTCTGCAGCTAAACACCTCAATATGTTAGTAATAGCTTTAGCCCGGTCGGATTGGGCAACAAAGTGCTGCTTAAATGCTGCAAACTCCTCTGCTCCACAACTTGGACCGCTAGCGCTGACCGTAACTATCGCTTGACAGACTGACCACGCGCATCATACACATACTTTTTTTTTTTTTTTTCGAATCTTCGGATCACGTGCGTACCGAACCGTGGAGTGGGATCGGATCGGAGTTCGGATTTCGGATCAACTGTGATCCGTTGCACCACTAATGTTTGTATAAACAAGGTCCAACATATTGTCTCCTCTTGTTGCAAAGTTAATGTTCTGGTGAAATTTGGGTAGAACTGATTTAAGTGTGGCGTTGTTAAAATCCCCAGCGACAATGAAGAAGCCATCAGGGTGGGCTGTTTGCAGATCACTGATAATCCTCTAGAGTTCATTGAGTGCTCCACTAGCTTTAGCATTAGTGTTAGCACTAGGTGGGATGTAAACAGCAACGATGCAATTTCATCACAGTAAATTCTCTTGGGATGTAAGACGGCCTGCATCTGACTGCCAAGACCTCCACAAGTTCTGAACAGTGCACAGATACAGTCGCTGCATTCTTTTAAGAGTGTCAGCCTTGAATGGGAAATTACTTGCC